CCGTCGGCGGAGGGAGAGGTGGAGTTCGTTGCTGCTTTTGTTGTTGTTGCTGTTGGTGGGTCTGTGGTTGAGGAAGGGGGCCCTTCCCTCGGCCCCTTCCTCCTTGTTGTAGAGGGGAAGGGGCCCTACCCCGACCCTGGGCATCGTGTCTTTGTTTGACTCTCTTCTCCTCCTCTATGAGAGGATCCTTGTCACGCACCTGACCCCGACCGGTGGGCCTTGGTACTGAAGGGACGATGTTGTTGGTCCCAGAAAAAGATGGGGGTGCAGTACTGGTTGATCCCCTGCCCCTCTCGGCAGCAAGAGATTACCTCCGCCGTAAGAAGTTTAGATCAATTTGTGGGGGTGACATGGCTTCCTCTAGCTCGTCCTCAATGTCTAAAGATTGAAGGATGTTGATGTCGGACCCCGCCACCTTTCCCGAAGTACCAACCTCAATGTATGTAGGTACAGAAAGACTCCTTGATCTCGAGTTCTTCTACTTCAGTGACACCCTCAACTTTCGCCTCGGTGGCTCTATCAGGATCTCTGTCCAAGTCTTGCTCGAAGTCTTGCTGCACTGCTTGGTTGAAGAGCTCAGACCACCGTGAAATATCGAAGGGTTGAGGGAACTGAGAGAATTTCTTGTATCCTGGTGTGTAACCCATGAGGATATGCCCAGTTCGACCGAAATCGTCGACGCCAACGTGTCCCCAAATAGTGGCAAGGTCGTTTAAAATTCACCGAGTGCCGGGAAGGAGGAGTAACTTCGCGAGCAAAGATGTCTGCGCAAAAAAGAAAGGATCTCGTTAAAAATTAGCAAGACATTTAAAGAAGACAGACAAAAAAGACGCAAAGAGGCCGACGTAGTTGTCATTCTCCACTGTAGGGGGCACCTCAGACCAGCATACTCGGGGCCAGTTCCTCTCTCCCAAGCCCGTTAAAGACCAATAGGTCGTCCTTGTACCCCTTGTCTGAGTCAGGAAAGTGAGTCACTAGATACATGGAAGGATCCCTAGCCTTGAGGTAGAAGTTTTGCTGGGGCATCACCCTCAGCAAAGAATAGCAGAAGAGAATATCGTCGAGACCAAGGTTGACCTTGAGACGCCTGTTGAGTTCTATGACCCCCATTACTATCATAAAGACATTCAGGCGACATTGTCTAGGGACGAGATGGAATCGAGAAAGGAATTGGAGGAGTAAAGAGGACAAAGAGAATCTTATCCCACCCTCTATGATAACCTTGGTGTAGAAAGGCATCGCATCCTCGATCCTGACATTACGATTGTGTTGGGTAGGGTTAAAATCCTCTATACCGACGTTACTGGGTATGCGATAATGGGCTCTAAAACTCTCTATCTGTTGATCCCCCTTAACTTTATATTTCCCTACCCTCAAGGGACCAGCACTTTGAATCTCGGTGTCAGGGCAGGCCCTAGGTATCTCTACGAAGGAAATTGGGATTACTCCTCCTAAAAAGGTCCTAAGGAGTTTTTTTCAAAGCACTAGGGAGGTTGATGGAGACCAGGAAGGCCACTGGTCACCGAAAAAACCAGAAGGAAGAAGGAAAGGGAAGAAAAAAGAAAGCAAGGACTCACCAGAGAGCTAAGGGAAGGGTCTTGAGGCTTAAGAGGACTCGTTTCGTCGACAAATGTCTGATGGCAAGTGGTGCCGCAAGTGTTTTTGCTCCGATGGTGGATGGAAAGGCGATGGTGCAAGTTGGTTCTCTAAGGAGTTTTCCGGCGAAAGCTCTGGCAAAATTTCTTCACATAAACTAAAGTGTGGGAAAGAGAAGGGGGTTCAGTTTATATAGTAACTGTCCCCATCATTGTGCATGAAACATTAAGAGGCACATTTAATGTGCATAATCTCCAAAGCGACTGAAAATGACTGAGAGCAATGATGAGGTGGTTGGGGCATTTATGTAACCCTTCGCCTTTTAACGACACGTCGCCCCTGCATCAGAAGATCAAAGGGTTGGGGGTAGTTGATGGGACATTTCTGGGAGAAAATAGATCGACGACACGTGTCCTCGGCATCGTTATGATTCCAGCCAGGCATGGTCACGTGTCCTCGACGACACTCATCCCCATCTACCGAGGAGATAGTGCTCGGAGCCGAGGGATCCCCCCCAATTGGCGTGATCAACACATATGTCTTCGGCTCGGTAAAAATCTTGACCCCCAAGGTAGACAAATGTTCCTCGGTACTGATGTGTTCCTTCTGTAGGCTGAATCCAACCTCTCATCTGCTTCTACGAAAGATAATGATTGACTGATGGCTAGCCTAGAGCAGGCTAGGCTAATCATCATGAAGATGCTCTGCTCAATGGTCTCAGGAGGAGTAGGGATGCATAACACGCAACCAAGGAGGAGTGGATGTGTGGAATTTGATATCAAATTAGTAGCAAAAAGACCTGAGTACCCCTGCTGACACATGACTAGAGCAAGTATGCATTTAATGAATCATCCTCCTAATGAGACAGCAATTAAAACATGGGGGTTGAGAAGTGAAGTGCATTAAAGACCCCCATACCTAGGCATTTAATACATCCCCGCCGAGGAGGGGGAATTGAATGCTTGGCAGACCGAGGAGTGAGCTTTAATTGTTCAGCATCCCGATCAATTAAAGTAAAACCCATTCCCCCCTAAAAGTGAGAGGCACACTGCCCCATTTCTGACAAATATCTATTGAATGGACTATCAGCAATCATGAATTTTTAAAGATATGAATAGTTCTTAAAAATCATTAAAAAGGTACGCAAGAACTTCAAAAAAATAACTACATAGTGCTTTCTTCTTCCCCTCTCTCAAAGAACTGACTTGATCGTCGGAGGGGATACGCCGGAGAGCACTCCGGCACCTTTCTAACCTGTTTTTCTGTGTTACAGGATCCCCTTATAGTCTACCAACCCCAATCAGGCGACCCAACAAACAATTCATCACCAGTGCTTAGAGCCCCTTTGTCCATCTCAACCTACTTTTTGTTGCCAAAACCTACTTTCGGACGGGCCAAATCTCTACCAGAGGCGATCGAAAATCCTGAAAGCAAACCCTCCGTTCCGTCGGAATTATTATATTCTCAAACCACAGTTTATCGTGAGAGATATCTGTTTCTATTTTTACTGTTGTGCAAAAATTAGCATGCACAAAATTTTATCTTACTTACCAAAAAAAAAAAAACTTAACGCGCATCTAGCGAAGCAAGCTTGTTTCAAGTTTGTGACTTGCCCAGCTCGATTAGGCACTGCAGACACCATCACCAGCATGTAGTACATAAAAAGCAAGGCAGTCGTGATCATAACCTTACTGCTCCTTCTGCTGATCATGCTGCCCATTCTCTCTCTCTCTCTCTCTCTCTCTCTCAAGTAGTAGTAGTTGTTGTGCAAGGCAAATGGTTATGTGACAGAAGTTTCTAATATTGCCTGTATTTATAATGAGGGCAGAGAGGCCCAATTCCGTACTATAGGGTGTTAAAAAGTAGGCTAGCTGTGTATGTCCATTGTTTGACTATTACACCATATATTGTCATCAACCCATCGTGGCAATATACATATAGAGAGAGAACTTGTTGGAGATAACTTTTTTTTGTTATAGGTAATTGCTTATTGTTATTTTAAAATAATAATTTTATAGCATATGAGAGAACAAAACCCTTAAAAGAGAGGACATAAAAGATTAATATTTATCTTTGACAAGGATTGATCCATTAACCTCTTAATTTACAATATTTTTAGAGAATCAAGGATGATCTCTCTAACTAAGCCCAATTGCTTCCAACATGACTGATCAATTGAGTATATAAATATAGGCTTCTCAAATTTTAGTGTGCTCAACACTTTTTATTAGATCGTGACAAATCATGTCTAATTATTGAGTTTAAATTCTTATTGAACTTGGCTCAAAGAGAGCCTACGAGCTTATATTTTAATTGAACTCGAATTAATGCACGCATATACCATAATCTTTCTTGTTGAGCCAATTGATTGCACTTACGTCAGATTGAGAGATGGAAAAATTCCTTAACCAACATGATACAGGCAGGATTAAGGTAATTAATGATATTCTATTTACCGCATACTAAGATTTTAAGTGATAGATCATAGGTCTGCATTGCAATTTGCGAGTTTGCAATATGAAACTTTTGGGTTACCAATGGATAAGTTTAATTATTGAACTCTCTCTAACGGCTAGCCACATTTATTTCTTTGGAGTCATGTTCTAGACTAGTTTAAATCACAATGATCAATTATTGAACTTGAGAGAATAGTCGGGACAAGTTTAAACACCGTGTAACAAAAAAAAAAGTGACATAGACACCCCCAGCAAAAGAAGTTTGACCTTGACATTGAGTGCCTTGAACCAAACCCCAAACTCCCAAACTACATGAAAACGAAACTGTTTAATTGATTACTTGTCCACTAATTTTGCATTGGACCCTATTTTTTTAAGTGTATAACAATAAATAATATATATATATATATATATATATATATATGGGCATAAACCCGTGAGATTATCTTCATTTTTTTTAATTATCACATATTAAATCAATTCAAGGTTTTATCCTTAATTATTTGGGACCGGTTAGTAAAGATTTCATGTTAAATGTCAGACCTACAATCTGTAAGTAGGTAGGTATTTAAGCTTAATTTATTAACCTAATTTAACTGTGGGTCTCTTTAAATATTGAAACTTAGTATTATTTAAACGGTCATAATAAAATCGCATCATTACGCCAAATTTTTAAGATTAATTATTGATGTGATTAAAAAAGAGGGGTGCTAATGAGGTGGTTGTATAAAATAAGAGGTTGGTTAGATCATTGATACCCCTACTCTCTTTGGTGCCAATATTGAAGCAATGACCTCATTATTTATAGCAGTTTTGCTCTTTTGATTTCTATAACCAAGTCTCCTACCAGCTGCATGTATATATACTGGCTCTACTGCTCCCAAAACTTAAAATGAACTCGGTAGTGATAGCGAGAGGGCAAAGGAGGAGACCCGAGTTTAATAAAGCTCAAGCCTCCTCCATCCTAGTTCCTCCATCTCGTTTCTCTACCACTATACAATTATAGCGCTTAGCACAAAAAATAAAGAACCCGAGGTTGAGTGCAGTCAGAGCAGCAGAAAGGAAGAAAAATCGATCCATATGCCCATCGTTTAGGTTTGGAGTTATCCAACCTGGCTTTCCATTATTTGATGTTATCTTCATCACCACAGTCAAGATCATGCTGCACAAATAACTACCCATTGCTGCAGAAGACATTGACAAACCAAGCCCCAAGCTCTTCAATCCATCAGGTATTTGTGCTGCAAAAAACTCCCATTGAGCAACATACATGAATGCTTCTGCCACTCCAACAAGCACATACTGTGGAGTCTGCCAGAGAATGCTCAAAGAACTTGTTTCTTTTGCCACTTCATTAGCTAATCTTAACCTGTGTTAAAGACAATAGAAGAGGAAAAAATTTAGAATAAGTCTAAAACCAAGGAAGGGCCCTTACTAGCCTATTAAGCCCCTAACTCAAATAAGGGGGCGAGTGTGGCTTGATGAACCGACAAAAAGGAAGTACATATTAGACTACCTTGCTTAGATCCCCGAATCGTAGCAGCATAGGTCTAGGAGAAGCCATTCGCAAAGGTATGAGCATTCAATCATTTTCCTTAGCGAAGGCTCTCACGCACTCCTATGTATGGATTTCAAGTTAAGCCAAAAAAAAATGTGCCTCTACACTTGGTCTAATTTTTATGTTTATAGAAAGATATATGCATCCAAGCTTCTCTAATCTTCCAACTTTCATCTAAACTAAGTAGTTTGATTCCTAAATATATCTTTTCAAAGAATAACTTAGGGTAATGTAAGATTTTTTACCGAAATTTTAAAAAATTACGAAATTAAAACAATGGGTTTTCAAATTTCATTTCTTGGAAAATCAAAACCAAGTTTAAAATATAGGTTAAAAAATCAAGCGTCACCTTGAAATGAAATTCAAAACCTAAAATTTTGCTAGTATGGCCAAATTATTACATTTGTTGTCATTTTTTTCTCATATTTTTGTCAGTGTAGGATTATCCAACTCGGAAAACCAATAGGTATGTTGATTAGAATTGCATCATTATATGTCCATATTTCTATCAATAAACCAACTTGTAACAATAAAAAAAAATACAAAAAAACTTAACCTGTGTTGCTCGACTAAGGCTGCGATGATCATGGCTACTATTCCAATCGCCAACCCTATTCCCATTCTCTGTAGCTCACTAGGAGGCTTTGGCTTTCTTCTTGTAACTCTAACATACAAAGGAACAATAAGCTTGTCATAGCAGATGATGAAAGTTGAAGTACTTATAATGTCAAATGCAGTCATGCTAGCCGGAGGGATATGAAAGGTCGAGACCAGTGTGTTCATGGCGGCACCTTGCTCGATGAAGAGAGAAATCATTTGAATGAACACCAAGGACGATAACATGGTGCAGGACCATATTGGTAGTAGTCTCAGTACACATTTTACCTCTTCAACTTGTGTGACAGTGCACAGACGCCATGGATTTGGAGCTTGGCCTTTGGTTGATGTCAAGGTCATGTCCTTTGGGGTGATAATGGCCGCTCTGTCAAGAAACCTGTGGTTGAATCAACAGGTTTTTGTGAATTCCAAAACAAAAAAAAAAAAAAATTTGAAGAAAGATTGGCATATTCAAAAATTAAAAAGAAAGTTAGAATGACTATGTAAATTTTTTGGCATATTCAAAAAATTTNCTAAAATTTTGCTAGTATGGCCAAATTATTACATTTGTTGTCATTTTTTTCTCATATTTTTGTCAGTGTAGGATTATCCAACTCGGAAAACCAATAGGTATGTTGATTAGAATTGCATCATTATATGTCCATATTTCTATCAATAAACCAACTTGTAACAATAAAAAAAAATACAAAAAAACTTAACCTGTGTTGCTCGACTAAGGCTGCGATGATCATGGCTACTATTCCAATCGCCAACCCTATTCCCATTCTCTGTAGCTCACTAGGAGGCTTTGGCTTTCTTCTTGTAACTCTAACATACAAAGGAACAATAAGCTTGTCATAGCAGATGATGAAAGTTGAAGTACTTA